TCACAAACCGGTTCCAAACCCTTGCAAAACGCAAACTTGGCAACTGACATGTCTGATGCAACGCACTTGATTGTTTTCTCACAATGTGTGCAAGCTGTACCTCAATCTGTGCCTCATACCTGCGCATGCAACCTCGTACCTTGCACCTTGGCTGAACCTGGCACCTTGCACCTATGCACCTTGCAAGCGGGTACCTGGACAGGCGTGTGATGTCCAATCCCCCGCCCGCAGGGAACAGCACACACCTGGAGTTCCTACCAGTTCGTCTTGGTCGCATCCTTTTCCTGCTCCCCCATCGCAGCTTCCTTACCCTTCAACGAGATCAATGTTGCCTTAGCCTGGACAAACTCGGCCCTCGCGGAATCAAGCTTAGACGAAAGCTCAAGGGGTAACATGGAGAGAGTCAACTTGACCCGATGCCTCAGGTCAAACGCACTGAAGTTGCCGTTGGTCAAATCATCAGCCCACGTGTTTTCATCACGCGGGCGCCAATTAAGTACCAACCTCTTGTTGACCCTGCGCAATGCCTGGCATGCTGACATCTGAATGCCGAATAATGGCCACTTCGTGGTTGATCCCTTACGCTGCACCTCCGGGGTCGAACGATTGTCCGTCTCCCCACACACGAAAACCTGCAGGCAATCCTGTGCACCTGGGATAGGCTGCTCCAAGTGCCCGAAGGCCACCAGTGCTGCAAGCGATGCCAAGAGTTCTGCGGATGTTGATGCCCAACCGGACTCTCCGTCCCTGAACAGGCAAGGCAGGTCACTGGGGAAAACCTCTAGGGAAAACCAAGGGGGAACCATCGGGTCTAGGCCGGCCTTCGTAGACCAACCACCTAAAACAACCTTACCGGGCTCGCACTTGGCATCCGTCCTAAACGACTCGCGTGGCGCCAACCACGCTTGCTTCACCGCCTGCATTCCATTGGAAGATCTCAGCTCGTCTCTCACATGGCAGGAAGACGCGCCACCGTGCCCCTGTGCAACACTGCATTGAAAGCAAACAGGGGCGCCAAGAAAGGACGAATCCAGCTGAGCAGCCTTGCTACGAAGTTTAGCCTTCCAAGGAACTCACTGAACCTCCTTCCCGTGATGTACCAGTTGTTCTTTTCGGCACCCTCGATCCATTCAAGAATCCACTTGACCCGCTTTGGTGAGAGGCCAGCAGAAAAGGTCTCGTATGACAGATAGTACCCGATGAATTCCGCCACTAAGCTCACTAAGCCCCCTTTAAACTTGTGGAACGAAAAAGGCGTGCCAATGGCAAGATATGCCGCAAGTATCATCCACAGGACGACGTACTTGTCTGCACCCAGCACTACGATGCGCAAGTCATCCACAAAGATCACCTGAAGATTCCACCTAGGGCCTAAGACGCGGAGAACCGATCTTCCGACACATCCGAACAATCGAGTCCAAAGGATCGCCGCGGAACTCACTCCGAACGTCCCGACGCAATTTAACCACACCACCCTGGCGGCTGATGTGGCTTTGCATCCTAGTCTCGGCCAATCCACTCTCCTGATCTTGACCCTCCTGTGGGCCTGTGCAATGTCGGCACAAATGCAAAAGGCAACCTCCTTCGTGTCCGCTGCCGGTACTACCACTTCGAAGATGTCTGCCGGACCCGGGACCTCCAAACGATCAGCAATCTTGATGCAGTTGTTAAGGTTAACGCCGTGCGTGGCATCATGTAGCGGTCTCACGTCGCCGTTCGGCTTTTTGATTGCCCCCATTGCCGCAATGAGAAGTTGGTCAGGCCCGAACTCCTGCCTCACAGCACCTTCAGTGGTGGCAATCATCATCCCCTGTTCTGCATCCTTTCGGAACTGTGCCTCGAGTTGCTCAGATGATAGCTCAGCTGAAATGTAGTCAATGTAGTTGGACATGATGGCATCGAAAGGGGTCTCATCTAGTTTCCTCGATTTTAACCTCCGCCTGAAGACCTGAGGCGTGCGCGGCAATGGCTTGTCGTGCCCAAGTGGCATACCGTTCGCAAAGCATTCCTCCCCTTGCGTGAGGATAACCCAATCCGGGTCGCCCAAAGTCTGCAGTGACTGTGCAAGTAAATGTAAGTAGAACGGCTGCCTTTCAGGGACCTCAAGCGCTCCAGCTGGGTCATCAAGGGTCGCTGCAATGTTCTCACGTAGACAAGACAAGGCCTCCTCAGAAAATGGTGAACTCGAGATTTTCCCGGTAGCCAACATGAATGACTGCTCCCGTACAAACTTCTCAAGGATGTCTCTGACTGCTCTGGCATGTCCTGCCTGCACCGAGTCTGCAATGCGTTCCCTAGCAGTCGGAGTCCACCTGCCGGGGGAACCGAACCCATCAACAATCTCACGCTTGCACATCGCAAAACCTGCAGATCATCGGCTGGCCAAATGCCCCACTGAAGGCTGGGTTGAAGGGTTCTTCTGGTTCTCCCACCTGGGGAGATTTCGCACAACCCTGGAGCCCGTCATCACTAGAGATGACTTCCACTCCATCCTGGGAGACTTGCTGCAACTGTTGCTCCTGCCTGGTTGCTTGGCTCGAACCTTGCCGCACCTCATGCTTGCGCAAGGCAGCCTGGCCTGAACCTTTATGCGACTGCACCTCATGCAAGTCTGCCTGGTCCGCGTCCGGCTCCGGCGACATGTTATGCGTCTGCAGCTCTTGCTGCAGTGGCAAACCTGTGCACTGTTGTTGGGCCTGTGTTGCGAGCTTGCCTGAAGCCAGCGAAGATTCCCCCACCGAAGGGGCAGAAGGCAAGCGGAAGCCTAGTGACTGCAAGTGCTGGGTACCTGCCTCAGGCAGCGATACCATTGATTCCGGAAGGTAAGCGATCCAAATGCACCTAGTCCCCTGCCAGGGCTCCGTGGCATGAAAATGGGTTCGCGCATGCACATAAGCTGGTCCGGGCTGCAACTGGAGGACATCTCCACGCATCCATGTTACTTGGAAGAAACGCCACTCGCTACCGTGCTCTGATTGCTGCCACACACCCCCGCCTGAGAACTTGGAGAGTGCATAGACAAGGTTAGGAGAATCGGAATTGCGGAGATCGCGGTGGCACGAGCTGTGCACATCCTTCAGGATCACAAAAGCACCGAAGTAGTGCGTCTCGTCGAGACTCTGGACAAATTTGCAGATGAGTTCACAAGAGTAGGGGAACGAAAAGGTGTTTGCACGAACTATAAAACCTGCATGCTCCCAGTTGGCGCCTGCGAAGAATGCCTTGCCCTGGCCTTGATCGCCTGTGCTTGCACGCGCCCGTGTGTGCGGAAGCAATTCAAACACTGCAAGAATCTGGCAGCGGTGCTTGACCTGTTTGCAACAAGACCCGTGAGAGTGCCTCAGCGGGGTGCGAGTGTGGCGCCTCCAAGTGCTCTGCAACTGAACGAACTGAGGTGGCGGCTGAAAGAATGAGCCTGGCAAGGTACTCGCAGAACATTGGTGGATATGCCGCTGCCGTGGCTGTCCTCCACCCGTCCTCGCACCTACCTATCAGGGCAAAATCATGATCATGCGGACATGTGCCCAAGGGGCCAAGATACTTGCCTGACTCATCCAAAACATGCCAGCACTGGCCGAAACGCAAGGTTCAGGGAGATTGCTGCCCAACCGTGTGGGCCTTGGCGTCTCACTGCCAAAGAAACACTGGTGAATGCCCCAAGTCGCAGACTGTGATGATTCAATCAACTCTCGCATGCTTGGAAAATCCCAGACGGAGCCAGGAATATCGCCCGTTTTTACTGCACCCAATTGCTCCGGGTGCTCAAACAAGAAGAAGCCGCCTGTGCTGACCTGTGTGGAAGCCA